TGAAGATATCCAAGATGTACTGTTAAGTGAAAATAACAAGTCACAGAACAATACAACATTTTTAACCATTAAAAAAAAAAACTGGAATGTATTGAGAATTACTATTTTATTAAATGCATTGGGGTGACATTGGTTAATAGGATCATATGGGTTTCAAGTGTACATTCTATGATACATGATCTGTATATTGCACTAAGTGCCCACCACCCAAAGCCAAATCTTCTGTTGCCATATATTAGGCCCCTTCACCACATTATTATGATAGGGATTGGGCGAGGAAGCAGGGGCGTACAGGCGGACTGTCACTTTTCACTCCATTGATACTCATGTCACTTTGATTTTTTAAAAGAAATTACTGTGTGGCTTGAAAATAAAAACTATTTTTTAAAAAAATTTACTATTATTTCTTTCCCTCTTCACTCACTTTTAATAAAATTCTCAGGCAGGATGTGAACAGAAAGAAAACAGTTGGTTTATTGACTTCCGTGTCTCCCACGGGTTCCAGTGTTTGCTATTGATGATTTCCTTCCTGTGCCCTGACAGAGTTGCAACTGTTAGGTGTGCCTTCATGGCTAGAAACAGCATTCTGGTTTGCTTGAACTTTTGAACCAAGGATCTCAAGAAAGAACTATGTTTCTCCAATACTTGCTTTATTTAGCTTTTTGAAATTTATTTCTTCTCATAAAGCTAGACCAGAATTATTTGCTATCCCAAGCAAAAATGAACCATGTAAGAGTAAATTCTTAATTTATTGATGAATGATAATTATTAAAATTAAATAATTTTCTAAATAAAGTTGTTTTCCTGAACATAAGCATAAAGGAAATGCATCTTCAGGCAGTTAATGGAAATTCTGGGTAAAAAGATGCAGAGTAGGTTAAAAAGTGAAATTAGCAAAATGGCAAAGAGAGTCCTTAACATGAAACATAAATTGGGATTTACTGTGTAATCTTAGCAACGGGAAAGAGACATAAGAATATTCTATCAAACCTTTGTTAGAGTTCCTTATAAAATTGCCTTAAGTGTGGCATCCAAGAAAGTAGTACATGATCCACTCCATGAATCAGAATGCAATTATTTTATATTGGTTTCATGCTTTTACCCAAGAGAGCTCCATAAATTGTTTTTAATCACTTTCTTTTATTTTAAATCAATAGTGTCTGCCAAGTGAATAACGTTGCCCATTAAAACATCACCTCCTATAATTGGTATAATTGCTTCATAAAGAGATAAACCACAGTCTTTGGGGTTATAATCTAATTATGTTCACAACACAATATTCTTAATGATCAAAAAAAGAGCATAAACTTGAACAAATCCCAGACGTATATGATAAAGTAATTGGAAAGAAACAAGTTAATTGTTGCATGTATTACTGCTTCTATTAGCAACCTCTAAAAGAAAGCTCCAAAAGCCGTTCAGGGTGTAGGGAGGTTTGGGGGAGTTGTGGTCCCATTAGCCTGGTTTGGCAGCCTGTGGCTGAGATGGGAAAGTCTGGTACAATCCTGAGGTAGAGGCTTCTGAAGTCCTGGTCACCCTGGTGTTGAAGAGAGAAATCTGTGGATTTTCACATGTATGTGTAGGCTGCTTCAGACATGACCTTCAATCTCTGTTTCAACGGGAGATTTGCTTTCACCTGTTTTACATTTTGGACTTCTGCAACAGATTTAATTTCAGTTGCTAAAATTTATTTATAAAAACTCTGCTCTGTGCCATAGTCATGTGATTCCTTTTTGCCAAAGACTGAAAATATAAGAAAAGAAGTTGAGAACACCCTCTGATTGAGCCAGCAGGGCCAGAGAGCAGCCCATGTTGCCTGTGGTTCTCATAAGGCTAAAACTCATAAGCCTTCTCATATCATCAAATAGTACTTCTAATTTGTAAACACAAATTCCCAGTTTAAAAAAGGATAGAACACACACACACACACACACACACACACACACACACACACAAAGAAAACACCTCAGAACTGTATATCAACTGTGCCTCTTCCATTGCTTCTACGTAAAAAAATAAAATAAAATAAAATAAAATAAAATAAAATAAAATAAAATAAAATAAATAAAAATTTATTAAAAGGGAAGGGAAGGGAAGGGAGGGGAGTGGAAGGAAAGGGAGTGAGAAAGGGAGGAAGGAAGGAAAAAAGCAGGCAAGGAGCAGGGAAAGGTACTAGACTAGGAGGAAATTACATGTCTCTTAGTTTGAGGATTGTCCAGAATTATGACGTTCTATTTTGCTTCAGCATTATGGAGAATTAACCTGCCTTTCTTTGTATTTATCTTCTCCTCTTCCCTCTCAATGGTATCATTAGGGGCTTTTTCCTCCCTCTTTCTCTCTTCCTCCTTCTCTTTAACCCACAACAAGAAGCATGACACATCCATGAGGAAGCAGCAACTTACAAAGATTGTGAGACTTAGAAAGTTAATAAGCCCAAGGGCTAGATGGAAAGATGAAAAGATACACACTTGACCTCAAACCTATAAAAATTCTGGCTGAGGAAGGAAGAGGTGGTGGTGGAGGGGGCAGGGAGAGTGTTAGGGGCCACATGAACAGGAGGGAAAGAAGTAGAGATATTAGCCTTGGAGGATTTTTCCAGAGAAAGAACTTATCAGTGGCAAGCTGATTCTCCCATGCTGGCTCCTCCCTGTGATTCAAATAGCAATGTCAGTGTCCTTTTGGGCGAGACTTTCCCTGACTGCTCAGTGTAAAGTGACCACCAAGTTGCTCTTCACACACTATCCCATTTTACCTCTCTACACACACTTACTACCTGACATTTTTCTTCTTTACTTCTCTTCTGCTTCTCTTCATCCCCTGTCTTCTCCCCCTTCCCCACATGGACTGTATGCTTCTTGCCCATAGAATGTTAGTCCCAATGCTGCATGGACTTGGCTGGTTTTGTTCACATCTATATTGCTCAGAGTGCCTAGCAAATAGTACGGACATTCAATACTACAGACAATAATCCTATATAATAAAAACATAATATGCAAATAAACTGAACGGCCAAACAGGGAATGACCATTTGGACGACCATCTGAGACCTCGCTATGATAACCACTGGTGCCAGGCCAGCCAAGGCGGGTGCAATGCAGTCGGTTGGGGGCCCAGCCATCACCTCATGATCGTCCCACAGAAGGAGGTCCAGGGCACTGGCCAACAGGCTGCAGCAGGTGGTCGTTTACCAAGGTTGCATTGTGATGAAGCAGTTGAAATTTTCCTGGAATTAGGGCAAAGGCAAGCACATTGCCTCTGTTATAGGTATTGCTTCAATTTTTATTTTTATTTTCTTTTCTTAATTTTTAAATATTTTTATTGATTTTTCACAGAGAGAGCTAGAAACATCAATGAGAGAGATACATTGACCAGCTGCCTCCTGCACACTCCCCCACCAGGGATGTGCCCACAACCAATGTACATGCCCTTGACTGGAATCGAACCTGAGACCTTTCAGTCCGCAGACCGACGCTCTATCCACTGAGCCAAACCAGTTTTGGCAATGCTGCTTCAATTTTTAGTCCATCAGGACCATGAGGCCTAATGGCAAAGATAGACCTGCAAGTGTCTCCTTGGTGCTAAAGAGTGATGTGGGTGTGGGGAAGATAGAAAATGAAAGCAGCCCAGAGAACGAGTTCTAAAGGATACGTTCACTGTAACAGAAGCATGTGCAGATCAAATAATGCCACAGTTGTTTAAGCTTGACAGAAGCTTTTTTGATGTGCGGCAGACTACAATTATACCGAAATACACTAAGAAGATATGCTAACAGATGTCATCATCATGCTGGTAAACAAGAAACATGTATCTCAGTCTTTTGTTATTTCTATTTTAAATGCTACCTGCCTCTTTACTTTATTATATTCTCGACCTGGAGAAGAATAAAGCAAAGACAGATGATCATTTACAAAACACTGTATTTCATATTGGCATTTCATTCATGATTTCAAATATACTTTCAGGATATGTAAAGTACAACTATTATATACATATTTTAGGAAAATAAAATTTCACAGCAGAGGGTATGTTTTTTAAACTGTGAGTAGTAACATTCCATTTTTGGAACGAAATGGCTATAGTAAATAATATAAAGTAACATAAAGAGGACTTCCATTGCAAAAAGAGAGATGATATGATAAATTACTTGCATGCTGGATGCTAAGCAGTTTTCACAGATAGGGTGACCATATGATTTATCACCCAAATGGGATGCTTCTGAGAGTGAAAAGTTGTGCTGATCTTATTTAACTCTGGGACAAAAAAAAAAAAAAAAAAAAGGAGAAGCAGGATGTATGTATGGTCATCCTCCTTATGGGGACACTTAATGACAACAAAATTGCTTTTAGCTTTTTAAAAAATTAAATGACTCCTTTTTTATTTTTTTTTAAAAAAAGCCAAAAACAAAATAGCTTACTCATGTGCCAAACACATGGTAGGCAATTGGTCCTTTTAAAAAAAATAAACTGCTTGACTTGCTCTAATAAAATTAAACTAATCTGAATATAAGTTATTGTTAAAAACTGTAGAAGAGAAAAAGAAATTCAGGGGACAAGCTACCCTGTTTCCAAATTGTTCTGATCATTAAAAAAGTGTTCCCCTTGACCATAAAAATGAATCACAATAGAGAAGTCTGCTGGGTACCTATTCTCAGCCTAAAATATGCATTTCATATTTTGAAGATCACCTACCTTTCAATATTGACCTGGTTGGCAGCCATTATTGATTGTGGCCATTACAAGCACTGTGTCAAGATGATTGACTTTAAGGCCACCTTAGGGCTTAGCAAAAGGCATGTAGTGATTAGTGATGTCTACAGGAGACATAGCATAGGAAGCAATGGAAGGGGTGGCAAGTCTTTGTATTAATAGTAATTTTCTGACATATATCTAAAACATAATTGAATCTGAAAAAAATTACACCTTGATGATCCTGCATCTGTTACCTCTTTAATTCTACTATTGTACAATTAAAACACTGACTATGCCACAGGACTATTCCACACATCATTGTTTTATAACTTCCTTAGTCCATAATCAAAATAAGGAAAGATCAAATATCTAACACCTGAATAGAAAAAATAGTACAGCAAACATGCTAATTAGTTGCTCCTCTGTTTCTGTCCTTTGCTTATTTTGTTGTTGTGGGCTATGTTTTTATCTACTCAAGATAATTATAAGCAAGAAAGTGAAAATTAAACTTGCTTCTGCCCTCGCAAGCTAATATTAATGTCTTGGTTTTAAATAACTATTTTCAGCATTTACTTCACTACCATATACTTTGTATTATTTTATCCTTCCTACAACAGAGAGAGCTGTTCTGTGCCTGGCAAGGAGGGAACATGAAAAGGATATCGTTGATTCTTTTGAAAAATACTGGAAGTGTCCCTAATATTGCTACTTCTTTTGTGACCATAAAGTAGGTTCCATCTTTGGATCTTAATTCTCTAATTTTTTTTAAAAAATAGGGCAGAATTAAATTTAGGTTGAGGGGGAAATTCAACTTCAGACTGCAAAGCAGCTTTCTCACATTAATTTTGACTACACAGCTCTACTTTTCCAAGAGTGACATCCTATTGAAGCAGTTTTCCAAAACATTTTGTGGGAAATAAGAATTACTAGATGGCAACTCCTCATTCATGATCCCCAAACAGGAGACAAATTCGTCGGGCAGCAGGGTCTGCTCTGGAAGAGTTTCACGGGGGGAAGCATGTCCCAAAAGCAGGGTGGTTTCCTCCTCTGTCGAGTTTTGCATGTCAGAAGGATTGCTTTCTCCTTGATTTAAAATGAGGCTTAATTCTTCAAGAAATAGTGTATTGTTTAGGGAATGCATACTTGAGACAGAAAGAGCAAACTTAGGGTATTTTTTAAAAAGGGCATTTTTTTCCAGGTCTAAGGAATCAACTGTTGGTTTGAGAGCGGAGGCATCGGTATCATCATCATTGTTGAAATGGTCTTCCTCGGTGAGAAAATTTGAAACCTGGGGTTTATACCCTGTGTTGATGTCAGGAATATACACAACTGTGGTGCCGGTGAGCAGTGACTTCTGCAGGCACCCTGCTGTCTCCAGGGCTCCCGTATTGTTTCCTTTCTTGTGGTCCATGGGCTTGTGTTCTTCTTGGAGAAAGATTTCTATCTCTGTCATCACTGGATCAACGTATAGGACCTGTTCGCTGGAATTATTATTCATGAATTCACTCTTTTCCTGGGAAGAAAAAGCATTATTTTAATTTGCAAAAGACATTTAAAGGGGCCAGCTGGATAACTGGATAAGGACTGCAATTCGAATTTTCCTCAGCTTTCCTTTCCCTCTCCTGTTTCTCATATTGTTTGTCTTCCTATAGGATTTTCTCCTTTGTTACCCTGCTTGATTCCAAGCCTTTATTAAATTCTCCCTTGAGGAGAATATAGGAAAGGAAAAGTAAAAATAATCCATGTCTTAAGTACCTGTCTTGGTTTAAAATTTTTAAAGAGAAAGCGTTCTGCATATTGTTTCAGGGCCTTTTAAAATTTGGATTTTGAAATATGTTGGAATATCTTTCAATATTATGGAACCTTACTACAAGAAAATATTTGGCTGCTTAAATGAAAAACTAGGGTAGAGGGAGAATCCTATTTCACTTCCATTTGAGACAAAGGTTGTAAGAAGTGTTTTGAGTTGAGTTTCTAAAGGTGTGCAGCTGCTCGCAATTCAGACACATCTGAGGTAAGCAGAAAGGTAGATGAAAATTTTTATTTATATAAAAGCTGATCATTCTTCTGGGTGAGAAAAGGTCTCAAGGTTTTCCAGCTGATGGCTGGCTTCCCAGGACAAGTAGCTTCCACCCAACACAATTGCAAAATTATAGCTTCTGCTATGGACTAAATATTTGTGTCCCTCCAAAATGCATGTATTGATGCCCTAATCCCTGATGCGATAAAGTTCTCTTGATTAAATCATTTTTCACATGCTTGATTTAATCTTGTGTTGTTTCGTGCAGTAACACGCTGTACGTGCTTGTAGCCTAGGACCATGTAGCCTGTAGTCTGTACCATATAGCCTATGTTGTAGTAGGCTGTACCTCTATGGAAGTGCACTCCGTGATGTTTGCACTAGGACAAAATTGTCTAACAACACATTTCTCAGAATATATTTCATCATTAAGCAGAAGATGACTGTATATACTATGTGGGTTTTTTTTTTTTTCTATACATACATACACTTTATGGCTTCTCTTTGGATATCTAATTTTCCAGCTTCACTACTCTTGTGCTTTGGGGCCATCCTATATAATAAAAGCCTAATATGCAAATTGACCAAACGGCAGAACGACTGGTGGAATGACCAGTCACTATGATGCACACTGACCACCTAGCCTGCAGGCCCCAGGCCAGCCAAAGTGGGTGCCAGAGGGGGCCCCCTGATCACTGTGTTCATTCCCTCTGGTCACCCCTCACTGTGCTCCACACCTCACTGTGCTCATTCCCTCTGGTCACCCCACAGAGGGAGGCAACTGACAGCAGCAGCGGTGGTGGGGGGTGGGACCAGTGAACAGGTGGCACCAGGCCAGCCAAGGTGGGTGCCAGCAGGGGCCTTCTTATCTCCCTGCCAGTTACCCCACTGATCGGTCTTATCGCTGACTAGGCCTAGGGACCCTATCTATGCGTGAATTTCATGCACCAGGCCTCTAGTTATTAAATAAAATAAGGGTTATTTGAACACAAACATTGGAATAACACTTCAGTCAATCTGACAACTGAGATGGCCACCATGTGACTAATGGGAAGGTAGTATATAATAGTTTGGATTCACTGGACAAATGCTCAGAATTGGCACAATTTAAAACTTATAAATTGCTTATTTCTAGAATTTTCCATTTCATATGTTTGGACTGCAGATAACTGACAACAGGTAAAGCAAAACAGAGGATAAGGGAGAATCACTATAGTTAAAGGACAGATGAAGTCAAAGGAACTAGACACTACAGAAACTAAGAATGCAAGGTGGCTGTGTTCTGGGGAAGGAGGTGTTTCCCCACTTTAGGCTGGCAATTGAGTGAGGAAGTGGGTGGAAGTCAAATCACAGTGAAGGACACAAGAGACCAATGGAACTATTCCAGAGTGAGGGCCATAAAGAAAGAAGAGGATTTGATCACGAGGGAACAGAGACCTTTCTTTGAGCCATAAAAGTTCCCAATTCCCTAGTACAGGTAATAGGGAAGCAAAATAGCACTACTAAGTGGAATGAATATCAACACTAAAGTATCAATATTTGTTATCTGTAATTTGGTGAATGTATATTTGTCTTTCATTCAATTAGGTTCAGTTGTTTAGATCACTCTTTCACTGTCAGCCATCCAAGCCCTTTCTCTATTTCCTGTATCTAGAGATAAAGATCCCTCCTTCTGCTCAGGGTGGACTTTCCACCTCTTTTCTTTATTTAGACCATCTCCTCCTCCTCCTCCTCCTCCTCCTCCTCCTCCTCCTCCTCCTCCTCCTCCTCCTCCTCCTCCTTCTTCTTCTTCTTCTTCTTCTTCTTCTTCTTCTTCTTCACAGTCTTGTTCAATCACGTTCCCTCTCTCTGTAATAATCCTTCTCCAATCCTGTCCAATTTAGTACAAACATGCTTCTGACTCCACACCCCTCTGGAGTTACTGTTATTTATTCATTACACAACTATTTGAAAGCTGACCACACGTCAGCATAGACCCTTTCTTGCATTCCCTTCTTGACAATACTCATCAAAAGATGTTTCCACTCTTATGCCCCACTTCCTCCTTCTCCATCCACTTCTCAACTGAACCTCCAGACTAGGATCACCAATGACCTGCTCCTTGTCACTCCATGGACTCATTTTATTCCTTATGTTATAGAGCCTCTACAAATGAGTCAGCACTATGGATTCTTGCTTATTGACATTTTTTTCACACCTCACTGTGCTCATTTCTCTGACCCCTCTAAATCTGCCTTTTTTCTAGGACCATGTCTATTTCAATTGAAAACTCCCACTGGCTCCTCATTGTCTTTAGCAGTAGTTTTTAACCCCTCTATAGTGTTCTCAACATTGATCATAAAGTTGGAATCATTTAGGAAGCTTTGAAAAATACTGTTGCCTGGGTCTCCCCAGACCCATTCTCCTCTCCCCCTGTCCCCAGAGATCCTGGAATGGGCCAGGATTCAAATAAATAACCAAGGCTGAAAACTTTTGCCTTAAAGATATGGGGAAGGAATTGATTAACGGGCTTGCTTGTTGAAGCTCCAAATAGAACCATTTTATTTGTTTTACAAATACTCATCTTCCTCACATCATTTGAACACAGGGTTTCTAAGCTAAAAATACAAATTTTATTAAACTTTGAAAACAATCTGTCAACAGAATGAAGTTCCATAACTGTAAGACATTTTGTGATCTCATCTCACCATCCCAGTATTTTTCCAGGTACTCCTCATGTAAAGCCTTTTGCTAAAGCAGTACCCAGCATGCTCCTCTCCCTTTGTGCCTTTGCTCATGTTGTCCTCTTTATTTTGGATGTTCTCTGTATCTTCTGAGCAATTCCTATTCACCTTTCAATACACTCTTGTCATGTTTCATCTTATTTCTATCACTGCTCTTACATCACTGCATTGTAACGCTTGGATGATGTGTCTGTCCCATTGACTAGGTTTTGAGCCTCTTGATGGCCAACCCAGAGTGCTGGAAAGTAGGAGCACACACAGCAGATTCCTTCCCTTCACTCATAATCATCAACAGTTCCTTCATAACCAGAAAAGGCCCTCATGTCCTCAAGGTCTTCTGGCTCACCTTCTCTTCTTTGCTGAAGTGGAAACCTGACCCCCTCCCCCTCACCCACCCACCCCAGTGATACCTTCTCCCACAGTCCTCACACATTTATTTTTTCAAATTCCACTGGATCTCAGGAGTGAACTGGTGTCCCCCTTGGGCTCCACCTGCTTCTGTAAATGAAAACTCCTTTGGGTCTGTGAGGCTCATTCAATTGAACCTTTTGTCCTCTTTTTTTGGTCCCTGAACACACCTACCAATTGCATGGCCATCAAGTGACTCTGACACCTAATTCACAATCTTTCACTTCACTTTCTCTCTCTCTCTCTCTCTCTCTCTCTCTCTCTCTCTCTCTCTCTCTCTCTCTCTCTCTCCCTTCCTCCATCCCTCCTTCCCTCCCTCCCTTTTAACTTTCTTCTTTCTTTATATTGTTGACATTATTACAGATGTTCTCCATTCCCCCTCTTCCTCCTCCCTCCACCCACACCACCCTCTCATTCCTCTGGCCCTAAACACATTGTTGTCTATGTCTATGCATATATGTTCTTTGGCTATTCTCTTCTTTCATCACATGAATAGCATTGTGTTTTTGTTGTTCTGTCTCTTTTTCTTTTCCTAATTCCATTCTCTCATCTCTTGAGTATGATTTGAAATATGTATTAGTTTGTTTCTACCTATGCTTATATAGTTATGCTTATATGTACACACACATTTATTTATTGAAATGGAAATTCTACTCTATTGAACTGCACTCATGGACACAGCTGCCATTTAGTTTTTATTTGATGGTGTTTAGTTACCTGAAGCATTTTCACAGCATTACTGTTCTTCATACTAGGAATGTCTTCATGAAGCCATTTTGGTATTAGCAATAACATTCTTCTTTTAATGCTAAAAAACAAAAATGCACATTAGAAACATTTTACTATAGGACTGATGTAGGCAATCCTATGGGAGATTAGGAAATCAACTATAGTAGAATGGATAATGAAATTAAACTTTTCTGAAGCAGGAGCTAAGATTTCCATCTTTTTAAGTAGTTAAGTGGGAAGTTGACTCAATGTCTGTAGGGATTTTTTTCTTCTCTCTATTACTCTACTTCTCTCTAATGAGCAGGAACATTTCAAAACACTCACACTAGATTCAAAGTAAGAGGGAGAACCACCGTGGAAGTGAAAACTGTACATATGTTAAATATGGCAAAGCATGATGAGTAGGAGATCTCAGTGTGGAAAAATTTGGAAAACTTAAGGGATATTTTGTAGAACATTCCAAGGTGACTATAACCACAGAAAAATATTAAAGAAGAAAATATTATATAATAAAACCATTTAATTCAAGCTTCTCTAATTTTGAAGTTTTAATGATTCCAGATAGGGTTGAGATGATAGTGGTGGTTCAAACTTCCTTTATGTGGATGGAATAGGGGGACTGGGAAACTCTCTTACAGTACTGTGACACAGTGAGAATGCCATTTTTTATTTAGACTGTGTGCTTATTCCGGATCACTGGGGTGGGTGATGGAAAGAAGAGGGAGAAGCTGTGTATGTACAATCCACTCCTTCTCCAAAGCTATCCCTTGGCACTGCCACTATGTTGGAAGCATTTTCTGCATTTATGGTAAAAATTGATTTGAGAAAAATATTGTACCAGGAACTTAGAAGAGACTAAACTGATCTATGATACATTTTCCCATGTTAACAGTGCATCCATTAACAACAGATCAGATTTGTTAATCTGTTTAAGCAGCATCTCTACGGACTTTTAGTAACATTCTTCTTTTAATGCTAAAAAAAAAAAAAGATCCTGTATGTAGGACTTTATGGTTTTAATTATAAAACAGAGAAGTAACAACCAAAATATCTAAAAGTACTTTGCTAGCCCAATTTTATCTTGAACTGTAGGGTAAAAATAATTTCCTTACACATTTATGCAGTGTTTCATGATTCAGCTTTTTTACTAATTTACACTCTCTTTCTGTACCTAAAATTAGACCAAATTAATAAATTCATGCTATTGTAGAAAAGTTTTTATACAGCTGCTGATATAGTAAATATATATATATATATATATATATATATATATATATATCCACTCTTAGTTTCATTATTTAAAATGTTTTATTCTCTGTTTTCCAGTTCTATTTCTGAAATAAGGCTTATATAAATAACATATCATTATAGTAAACGAGAGGGCCAATGCATGAAATTCATGCAAGGGGCTCAGCCCTCACAGCCCTGGGTTCATCTCTAGAAGGTCATCCAGAAAGTCATTCGGCTGTCTGGTCTAATTTGCATATTATCCTTTTATTATTATAGTTAACAGTATCTGCTAATATGTACAATAGTTTATTGGAATCATCTCTTGTTTTATCTTTTTAAAAATACATATTTAAGTAATTAAATTGGCAAAAAATTGTCCTATTTTCTTGTCATTATCAACAGAAAGCTAACTCTTAGGTTATTCTTAGTAGCAAATTTACTGTTATTTAAAATTTCACACTAACATAGACTTCTTGGATAACACAAATATTAATATTTGTATGACAAATATTAACATTTGTACTTTTCTACAATAGCATGAATTTACTAATTTGGTAAATATTAAAATACTTCAAATGGGCTTTGTAATGGAGTATATTTTAAAACAACTAAAAATAAAGTTCTATACTCATTTGCCCAAGATACAAGGGGTATGTTTATTAATGTGTAATTTAAATACTTAATTTCTGAGGAAAAAGGCTACATACATTTTAAAAATCACTAGTATACTTTATGTAGAATAGCTCATTCTAAATCTTTCTACTGTGTTTTGATTATAAGTTTAAGAAAAAGAAAGTTTATCTCATTAAACAAGTGATGGCAAAAGAGAGAATCAATGCCAATTAGCACAGTCATGTGTTAAAATGTGTGTGTCATTAATGCACTGGAAGACTGCCATAGGAAACAACATATTAGAAATATGTATTCCATGCATGTAGTAAAATTTAGAAAATTTAAGGCACTGCTTTCCTCATGTTTAAATTATGTAGTGTAGATCTTTATACTAATACCATATAAGGGGGAAATTATTGAAGAAGACCAAGAACACTAACACAATTGGTATCCAGTGATGGTACCACACTTCTCTTCACACTGATTCAGGGAGCATGTTTGGGTAGAATTCAAGGCAGGTTATGATGTGACTTAACCACTCTAAAGAATCCAGGTGTTGCCTGGCTGTTGTGGCTCAGTGGTTGAGCATCAACCTATGAACCAGAAGGTTACGGGTCGATTCCTGATCAGGGCACATGTCCCAGTTGTGGACTAGATCCCCAGTAAAGAGCGTGCAGGAGGCAGCCGATTAATGACTTTCTCTCATCATTGATGTTTCTATCTTTCTTCCTCTCTCCCTTTCCCTCTGAAACCAATAAAAAAAAAAATATATATATATATTTTTTTTTAAAAAAGAAAAGAGCCAAGACTGGTTTGGCTCAGTGGATAAAGCGTCGGCCTGCAGACTGAGGGGTCCCAGGTTCGATTCCGGTCAAGGGCATGTACCTTGGTTGCGGGCACATCCCTGGTGGGGGGTGTGCAGTAGGCAGCTGATCGAGGTTTCTTTCTCATTGATGTTTCTGACTCTCTATCTCTCTCCCTTCCTCTTTGTAAAAAAATAAATAAAAAATAAAATAAATAAAAATAAAAGAATCCAGGAACTGTAGATAAACTTGAGGGCACAGTGAGAATGCTGTGTAGTGAAAGAGATCATGGGCTTTGAGATCAGCCGGGTCTGGACTCCTGGCTAGTGCTTAGTGACCCTGGGCTGACCACTGTAAACCTTGTGTATAAGTTAGACCATAGATCTCTTCTGGCAGGGTCACTGTGAGGATTAAATGAGTGACATTTGTAAAGAGCTTGGCATAACTGTTCCTTTTGTTTTTCTTTTCTCTGAATAAAACTGCTGATGGATTTTTCTTGTAAATAACTGAATAAACTACTTTTTGGTGGTACAAATATATGGTCTAAATGAGAAAATAGAAATTCTGTGAAAACCTACCCCGTTCGGAGTGATTTGTTAAATATCCCAATCAAAGAAAGAATTGACAACACAGCAGCGAAGGAGACCATTCCTGATAAAAGTCCAATGTCTTGTTGCCTGTTGTCTGAGAGGAAAGAAAAATAATTTCAGCTAGGCATCAGTGTCCATGCAATCTCAGAATCATTGTTCTCTCCTCAAAGCGAAGGCCGTTGATCTCAAAGGAAAAGGGAAAGGGGGAAACAAAATTGATCTTTACCTCTCACTCCAAGGTGACTGCCCTGGCAAACTGCATGATGATACTTTTGGTTTGAGAACACTGGGTTGCATATACCTGATGTCAGCAAGTTCCTAGAAGTGCAACTCTAGCAAATGTAGTCAGCATTACACATTCTTCTGAGCTTGTGCATGCATATTTTATATTAAAAAGTTTAGTGATGAATCCCATTTGGCTTTTCTGACACAAGTGAGAATTCTCAATTGCTTGTAACAGGGTCTAAAGCTGGCCATAATTACAACTGAGGTTTTGTTGTGTGCGTTTTTTAATCTTTTGTGTGAAACAGAAGTTATATACAACTTGTCACCATTCTTCAAAATTGATTGTTCATGATTTTTTTTTCCAGCTGAGAAAGAGCATTCACTCTACTTAGAATACTATATGTAATAAGAAAAAAAAATTAAATTGTTATATATCTTGTATTCACATTTTATTTTAAAAACAATGCTACCTTTTCTCACATTTTGAAGCTGAATTAACCCCCTGAAATCTTTAAATAATTAGTATAATATCTCCAACATGTGTTACCCACCAAGATCATCATACTTTCTCCATTTTTCTATCTCTAAATATAGGCTGTAATCGAGAAATGACTTATCACACTGGGAGTTTATTAACCTTCATCCCATCCTTTTTCTTCTCTCCCTTTGGCAAATGTATATCAGATACTTATCACGTGGCAGACACTGTATCGGTCCTTCTCTAGTTATTTCCCAGCTGCACCTACCACACTCTTGCAGCTCCTCTCCTAAAGCCAATTGGATGTCAGGGGCTTAGATTACTCCAAAGTGCCAGTGGAAGATGAAATTAGTGTTTTCCTAGGACTAAAACACAATTGCTGAAGGTTTCATGCAACTAATGAAGATCCTGACTGCCATATACCCTTGGGCAATCGTGCCTGGAGGAGGATAGAGAATTCCCACATTAACATCAGATGGGCAAAGGGGACTAAGGATAAAGCAGAGTGACCTGAGATGCCTGGGTTTGAAATGGACTCTTCCACTTATCAGCTCTCTACCTCAGGGCATAATTATAAACTTGCTGAAGCTCAAGTATCCTTTTCCTTAAAGTACAGGTAATAATACCTAAGAGAGCTGCCATGAGTTCCTAGCCTCCACAATTCCCACAGAGATAGCAAGGTTCGGGTCTGTGTAGGCATCAGTAACTGGGATTCTATACTGAACCTAAGCACTTGCCTAATAATTGATTCACATGTACAAATTCAGAATGCTCGTACCTTGCTTCATGTTTCTTTATATCATGTACCACCACCTGACTTGATTCCTCTTGTTGTTTTCCTCATCACCATCACACACACACACACACACACACACACACACACACACACACCGCCCCACATCTATCTAGAATAGAAACTCCGTGAAGACAGGGGACTTTCAGCCTGGCCAGTGTTGCTCAGTTGTTAAGAGTGTCGGCCTGTGGACCCAAGGGTCACAGGTTCAATTCCCAGCCAAAAGCAGGGTTGCAGGTTCAATCCCCAGCCTGGGTGGGTGCCTAAGGGAAGCAATTAGTCGATATATCTCTGTCACAGTGACCTCTCTCTCCTCTCTCTCTCTCCCACTCTCCCCGCCCCGCTCCCACTCCACTTTCCACTTTCTCTGAAAATCAATGAAAAAAAAAAAGCCTCAGATGAAGATCAACAACAACAAATGACAGGAGCTTTGTTCACTTTTTTCACTGCTGACTTCCCAGCACCCAGAGCAGTGCCTGGCACATAGTAGTTGCCTAATAAGTGTTTGTTAAATAAGTAAACGAAAGTCCAAAAAATGTTAATATAATCTGCAAAAATTCTTATGCTATTCCTGTTAGGTTTCTATGCAAGGAGATAAATGGTCTACCCATGGTCAGTAGTGAAATAGTCATGCCTAAAGTTTTTCAATTTTAAATTTCTATTTAGAGTTGTACTTGCCCGTTGCACAATCTACAGCCTGATCTAATATCTTTGTATGCCTAAAATATTTAGCTATGCTCATCAATGAAAAACCTTGAGTCGTACTAACAAATAAAATAAGGTCTTGAGTGTACGAGAGACGGATTTCTGAATTTGAGAACTAGGGTTTGAATTTTAGTCTGTCACTTAATGTGAAGTTGCACAAGTGTCTCAACCTCCCTGAACTTTAGTGTTCCCAACCATAACAAATAGATGTAACCCTTGTTTCACCGGGCTGTTTTGAAGATTTAAAAAGATGATGTATATAAAACTCCTAATACAATGGTAGACACTGAAATAATGGAAATGTTTTAGAAAAACATTTTGGGGTCTTGAGCCGTAGCACCAATTAGAATGAAAACATATTCAACACAGAGCAAAATCTGGTAAAATCCATCTACATTCACCACTCCTTAAATTCAATTTTAAGGATATCTTTATTCTTTTCCTATAGAAAGCATATGGGCAATCTTCTTATCAAGAAATGTATGCCTGCCCCCCCTTTTTTTTTAAATATGGAGAATTCAAATAAATGATTAGTTAAAAACCATTATAAAAACCCAAATTGCATTTTCTTACCAGAAGTAAGGTGTCCTTTAAAAACGGAAGCAACTAGAAGCCCAGAATTCTGAGTGTCATGTTGGAATGATTTCAGTGTGGCCGGGGGAACTTAAAGACAAAGAAAATAGCATTAGCATCTTATATCTTACACTCACATTACCCAATTTCCTAAGAGTTTCCTTACTTGTTTGGAGATGATAAAAGTGAATCAGTAACTTTAAAAGGTTTCAATGATGGAATAAAAGCAAAGGCCTTCAACTGTGTACTTTCTTCTTTTTATTTAACTGGGTAAATCCCAAAAAAAGGAAGAAGAAAAAAACAGCCAAAAAACACAGAAACTACTTAGGGTTTGTAACACTTCAAGGTGTGTCTGCTAATTTGATGAGGCTTCTAGGCAACAAATACCAAGGAGCTTTATTGCTTTCACTGAGCCAGAAAAAAAATGTACAATAACTTGTCTCTAGTCCTTCCAATAGGTGATGCAATATAATAAAATTGAGGCTTCCTTACAAGCCTCCAACATGTGTCCCTTTTGCCTTTGCACTATCTGTGAGCTTCTGTCAGTGAACAGCCTCTAGCCACCATAGAAGAAGCCCAGTTTTGATGAGCAGACACTCTGAGGTTGTAACACAGGGGAGGAATGCCATTAATGACCTTCCCCTGCTCCTTCCCACTGGCACGGATCTTGGCCAGCCCCAGCTAGTCATAAAGGTTGTCAGGACACTACTAATGAAAGCCTCGGCCCCGGGTGGGGTGAGCCACCTTGGCTTCCAACGCGCTTTCAAGTCTGAACTCAAGAGTCCTGGAGCTTCCTTACCCATCCCTTCCCTCCTGATAATTAAAAGCTGCCAGAGGTGACTTTAAGGATACGATTCTCCAGCTGACAGAAGAGAACACTGAACATGATTCTAAGCCCTGGATCCCCAGGTGTGCCTCAAGCCCCAATTACTCATTCTGATTCCAGAGTTCAAATTCTTCTTTTTAAAAAAGTACTTTGGAGCCAGGGGGAATCACAACTTGAGGTGTCCTTAGCTGCCATAGAGACATCACACATTTGAATAAAACAAGCTACATGGCCCAGACACCTCTCTTTGAGAAAAAAAATATAGCGTTCCAACACAAAGGTTCCTGTGGGTCTTCGGAAATGTTCGAAAAGGGCTGATCTGGGCACCAGCACAAGCTCCATTGAAGAGCAGTTTTCTAAGAACAATGGGTAAGGCGCTTTAGAAGATGAAAACATTAGAAAAGCCAAAAGATCTTTCCTGTGTTTTTTTGGTTGTTTTTGTTTTTTTTTTTTATTCTGGATTCTCCACAGCAAGGGGGGAATGTTCCACTGTACATTGTGACAAATCAGAAATTCCCCTCGGCTTCTCAATGCTTCATTAAGTCTTTTGTTTCTAAGTATGTGGTCCCATCAAACTGTGAGGGAGCAAGGTTATCCCCATGCCCAACAGCCAGATTCATTCAAATTCATTATAAATTAGTATTTTATAAGCTTCTGTTCATTCTCAGGGGAGCCCATGCAGGAGTCTGCGTCTACATTAATTTGAAATTTTAAAGAAATATAACATTAACATGAGATACAATTTTCAATATAGCAAAACCGTGGGTTTATAGCATATGTTGCTGGATTTTCCCCCCCCATTTTTGTTATTTTAAAATTAGCATTGATATTTAAGAATATATATTGCTGTTGGATTTTAACACAGGTCAATGTAAGCCTTTTGTATAAGTACAGGTGGTTAGTTGACAATGAAACTGATCATTAAAAGCTGTCAGAGGTGACTTCAAGGACACTATTCACTCAGCTGACAGAAGACAATCCTGAAAATGGTTCTAAGCCTATGATTTGCTTCATATAACAATAATTTCCATACTAGGTCTTTATTAGCCCTAATAAAGAATAAACACAGTCTTCCTCTTGGGTCCTTTGTTACCATAGTTTCAAATCTACAAGGTTCGTTCATTTAAATTAGATTAATTAAAGTCATTTATTTTAAAAAGAGGCTTAATTATCAGAGAGCAATTTCACAAAGAACTTGATAGCTGAAGTAAAACAAGTTTTAAATAAGAACGTTGTAGAAGAAATCAAGCCAATAGTAAAAATTTTAAGTGTAGGACTGCAATGAAGTAATCTAGACTATATTCTTTGTGGCATACCGCCACCAAGTGTTTAGGTCATTCCTTAAATAATACTTAATCGTTTTTCATTATATAAGCAGTAACTATTGAATATAAGAGGAAATAATTTTAACAGGGAAAATAAAAAGGAGAGAAAAAGAACCACCTCTAATCCATCCCCATAACCTACTATCGATATTAATAATTTATAATATTTTCAAGTATTTTAACATACAAAGACATTTACAAACACAGAATGATCTACACACAAAGCTTTTATGACTGAAAAACTATATCAGCTGTAATCATCAGTGTATTGCCTAATGTGCCAGAAAAGCCTGGTGGCATTTTTATTATTTATTTAATGTCTGCCGTGTCATATCCAAATGAGATAATTCTGTCCCTGCAACAGAATATTAAATTAAGCCTATTACTCTCACAGTACATACTTGATTATATTCAGAAAACCCAAATTATCTAACTTATGTTCACTGACATTGGATCCTAGAGTTAATCTTATAGAAGACAGTGTGTTCATAGGAAAGGTACAGTGGTTTCAAATTAAAAAAATGTAGTTTGTTATACTTGGCCAAAACTAGAAACATAACATAACAACATTTTTTTTTTTTTTTTTTTTTTTGGCTCACCAAATACCAGCATAATGTAATCAAATCTGCTGAAAAGGATTTGGTTTTAGCAATAATGTATTCCATCTGTTTCTTATGGGTGATGTCAAATCAATCTCCTCAGTCCTTCTTTCTACCCCGTCCACCAAGGGGCAAAGGGTGCTTTGTAATTCCTTTTAAGTGACCGTTTATTGAGTAGTAGTTATGTTCCAGGTGATGTGCTACACTTTGCCTGCCTCCTCTCATTTCACCCTCAACAACAACTTCATCAGGTGCATAGTGCTATTGTCCTTATTTTATGGATGAGGAAACTAAGGTGTGAAAAAGATAAAAGACTTTCCCAAAGTCACACAGGTTAAAGTTGCAGAATGAAAATCTTCATCCAGTTCTGACAGTGCTGCTGGTCCCTGACCCCATTTGTTAATCACTTCACTTCTGCTGCAGGATGGCTGGGGATGGGGAGGCTCAGCCAGCCCTGAGAGCAGCCTCTCCCATGCTGAGACTTAGCCATTGCTCCTCCGGGCGCTGGCCACAGTGTGGTAGAGCTGCCTGGCTGGCGGTTAAGGCTCTGAACCCCACCACAATGGGCTATGGTTGGGCTAACCCATTCAGCACTGATTCATAGAACATTCCAGCCAAGAATTACTTTTTTCTGAAAACCAGCTATTTTCCTTTATTATACAAACAACGCATACTACTTGTAGGCTGCTTGAAAAGTATGAGTATAGAAAAGAAAATATTGTTTTATATTTGTTTTTTCATTAAATGTTATATCATGAACATTTCCTCATTTTATTAAAAATTGTACAAAACCATCCTAGTAATGATAATGTAATATTTCATCATGTTGCTACTGTATTTGTTTAGTCATTCCCCTATTGAGGAATCGTAATGGTATCAGACACCAGCTCTGAATTCAGACAAAACTCACTTCAAGTCTGGATCCACTACTTGGAGTTGCATGGCCCTGGCTAAGTTGCTTAACCTCTCTGTGACTCAGTTTCTTCATTTATAAAATTGGATAATCATAGTACCTCATTTGTGAGATTTGATAAGATAGTTCATATAATTCACTTAGTACCATGCCTTATGCAAAGTTTAGTGTTTGCTACTGCTATTATTGAACTTTTAGGCTGCATTCCAAATCCTTACTATTATAATTAGCTTTTGGATTGTACACGAACTGTCTTTCCATATCTCTGTTTATTTCCTGAGACTAGATTTCTATAGATGGAATTACTAGGCCAAAAATTATGGGCCTTTATTTACTTTTTCCCTTGCCAATCTTGCTGTCAACGCTAACCAAGATCTGCATCACAAAGGCTTTGACTAGAGCTGACACAAGGACCTTTCTAGACAGTTCTCTCAGAAGGTTCTAGATATTCAAGAAAAAAAAAAAAAGGAGTGATATAAAAAGAAACAAAGGATGTGTTTTTCAAATTATTGGAATTTTTTTCAACCCTTCTTTTCTGAAAACATAAACATTCCTTTTTGGTTTCTTTCTAATCTCCTCCTAATAAGCTCAGCTGCTTCACAGTATTTAAGCGTTATCTCCCCAGGCTAATTTTAGCTCCACAGTTGGAATTCAACATTATTGGTCCTTGGGTAGAGATTTGACTCTAGTCTAGTTCATGCCATTGGCAAAGAAAAAGCAATGGCCAGACATATCAAACAGGCACCAAATGCCCAAGGCAGAGAAAAGGATATGTCAGAACAAATTCATTACCACACCTTGAAAAACAAGTCAAACAATGAGTCATTTCATGGGTTACAGAGTCATCCTTGTATATTAAGGATAGAAGGGTGTGCCTAGACATATTCCAGAGATTATCTTCATGCCTATATTCCTAGCCTGTAAGTTCTTTATACATAGAGGGAGAAGAAGGTAATGAATATATGTATGACACTCATATTGTTAAAGAAAAAGAGTAAGAGGGAAAGGTTAAAAGCAACAGCCACCCAGGACATTTTGTTAAGTGAAGACCACATAGAGGTGAAGGTCTGATGTCAAAGTGTAGCATAACTTTATATGTAGAAATGAGCAACTTCCAAGTTTTACTCAGTGATTTAAGATTCTTCAGAAGTGCAGCCTTGCTCTCAGGCACAGCATGTACCTACTTCTTGAGTCTGAAGAGTCTAGTGAATATTTGCCATTTTTGTAGTTGCCCAGCACTGGGACATACTTTTTTGTGGGCATCCTAAAATAAGTAAGAGGCAGGTAGGGCTTGCCACTGTGGAAGCCTCAGTGGAGCATTAAGTAGCTTTGAGCAGATGACCTAAGCCTAGCTCATCAGATGCCCTCTTCCCCAACTTGCACAGGACACACAGCTCCAGGAAATCATTAGGAATCCAATATGGGTG